TAATTCGTTGGCAGCAAAGTAACAAGATTCCTCGAAGACCACAAGATAAGAAGGATACTATCGATGACATACCACCCCAGTGGGAATGGACAGGCCGAATCAACGAACAAAACTATCATTCAAAACTTAAAGAAGAGGTTGAACGACGCTAAAGGGAAATGGAGAGAAATCCTGCCCAAAGTCCTTTGGGCATATCGGACGACGTCAAAATCCAGTACGGGGGCGACCCCATTCTCCTTAGTATATGGGTCTGAAGCATTGATACCAGTCGAAGTTGGTGAACCCAGTGCCAGATTTCGATTCGCGATGGAAGAATCAAATAACGAGGTTATGAATGCCAGCTTCGAACTATCGGACAAAAGACGAGAAGCTGCTCTTGTCCAATTGGCCGCCCAAAAGCAGCGAATCAAAAGATATTATAATCGAAGAACCAAGCTCCGCCATTTCAAGCCTGGGGACTTAGTGTTAAGAAAAATTACCATCAATACTCGAAATCCGAACGAAGGAAAACTAGGACCGAATTGGGAAGGACCATATCAGGTGCTCGAGAACATCGTAAAGGGATCATACAGGCTCGGCATTATAAATGGCAAACAACTATCAAGCAGCTGCNTTCTCGCCACATTCTTTCTGAGAAACGAGGGGACTATCTGTATACGGTCGAAATAGATTTTGGCTTTGGCACGTCCGATCGAGTTCGAACGATGATCTATCGAGGTAAGATCCCGAAGGTGGAACAAACTAACCTCGAACCCGGGGAGGCCGATCCGTATCGATGTCGATATCATTATCAAGCTCGAATCGAAATCGAACCATGATGCAGAGTAGATCTATCATACTGATAATCCAGAGACCAACCAACATTGACCTCGAATCAATTCAAGGGCTCAAGCCAGGATCGGGCTCGAACCAAGATCAAGAGCTCGAGTCGAAATCAAGCTCAAACCAAAATCGAGGGTTCTAAGTAAGATCGAGCTCGCAGACAAAAGCCGTTGCAATCCCACTAGAGAGAATCTTGGCAGAAATTGTGAAAAAACTGACTTATTATGGGTCTCCCACTGAATGTTTATTTTATTATGCTTAGAGCCAAATTCCTCCACTATAAAAGAGCTTGGTTACTATTTTTGTAAAACAAATTTTTCTTAGGCTTACATTGTAATAAAAGTGTTATATTCTTCTACAGTAAAGAATCGTTCTTTCAGATTTCTTAGATTGATTCTATTTGTTGAATCCTAAGATTCATTGTTCCTAACAACCTTATCTATTTCGCATTCTCTGCAATCTATATTTATATTTCTATTTATCCTTATATTTTGTGTTAAGTTACGCCACATATTCTCGGAAGTGCGTATAAATTCAACTCTATCCATTTTTCGGGTAAAGAGATACTTTGTTTGTGTTTGAGTTTATCCAGTTGATTTTGTCAGATACAGTTTAGTGGGCACTCAATAACTCTGTTTGTCTTAGCATACAAGCATTTCCCTTACTCACTGAAGTTCTGATTTTCTCTTTGTTTTATCCTCATATTATATACATTATATATTTGTACCCTTTCTTTCCTTTGCTTCACCTATACTTTGTTTGTGTTTGAGTTTATCCAGTTGATTTTGTCAGATACAGTTAGTTGGGCACTCAATAATTCTGTTCGTCTTAGCATACAAGCATTTCCCTTACTCACTGAAGTTCTGATTTTCTCTTTGTTTTATCCTTATATTAGTATACATTATATATATGTACCCTTTCTTTCCTTTGCTTCACCTATACTCTTGTCTCTCTAAGTTATATTTTCAGTTCTGCTTTTGAACCAATTGACTAAGCATTTTTTTGTAATACCAAGAACTAAACTTTTTCCGTTTGTCTTCATGCTTATTTGAGAATAAGCTGGTGTTTTCTTCTCAAATCTATGTGGTATTTTCCAAGATCAAATCTTTACGAGGTTTTAAGTTGTTTTATTAAAGTAGATTCCAAAAGGGACTCTTATTTGAGGTGTTTTCTTTATTTGGCTTTAATGGATGTTTCTTGTGATCTTGAAGTGGATGTCAATGGTGAAGAAATCTTTATTGTTGATAAGGAAAATTTTCTTTCTTTCTTTCTTTTTGCTTTCTGCTTCTTCTCTTTTGTCTTTGTAAAATAAGAACAAGCTCTGCATTTCCTCTCCCTTTTCTTTTTTGTTTCTCAGTTATGTTATTCTGTTTTTTAGTTCTAATTCTCAGTTCTTGGGTTGTTTTCTCCTCTATTTTCTCCAAGTTCTTTCTTTTTGTGCGTGCAAAATCATAGTTTAGCCCGAGACTATGATTTTACATGAGCTACTAACTGTAAGATTGTAAATTCTTGCCTTGTTTCTGTTATGTGATATTCTTGTGCATTAAGTTCTGATAATTTGTTAGATTTTCCTTGGTTTGCATAGAAGAATGATGTGACTCCTTTTATGTTTTAGGTAGTTGGTTTCTTCAGCACTGTTATTTAGTCTATTAAATGATAACTATAAGTTTTAGCCAATGTGAATATGAAAATGTTAGGGGTATACTTTTTCTGTAATAATACTACTACTGTTCATTACTGAATGATTGGGACTCATTGGGTACATGTATTTTGTTGTTTTCAAAGTTGAGTTGCTTAGACTAAAATGAGATTGTGTACTTGAAAACAAGTATGTGTAAGAGGATATGAATGTGACGTGCTTTAGTGTCGCTATTAGTATGTTGGATATTATTCTACGGTGAGTTGATATGTTGGCTTTTCTTCTACGTGAACTCCTGCTTTTCTTTTATTGCTCGCAGGTATCCCGAAGCCCAAGCGTTACGAGAAATTCCAGAACTCAATTCAGTCAGCACTTACATCACAAGGTGTAGCACAACCTTTATCAACAACTGAATCAACATCTTTGCATTTTGATGATGCACCACAACTGACTTCATTTATTCAACCGACAGCACGACCAACACCTTCAGGTCAGGTTGCAGCATATTTGATTCTGTCTGATCAGACCACAACATAGCAGGTTCCATCTATTCGGGCTGCGTCACAACACCCACTATCTAGAAAGTGTAATGGACATGTGTCTACGCAACATTGAACTGTAAATGCAATAGGTATGTTATTGCCATCAACTGTATAGTAGGATCAACTGTGCTGGCCATGCAACCTCTGGATTCCAGTTAATAACCCTTTTAGATCCAATTGTGTATGTTGTTAGAAGTTTTTGGTTTTGTGCTCGTTGTTGATTTGACTAAGTTTCTTATCTAACATGAATATTTGAGTTTTTTGGAGGAACTGTTGCATGGCTCACTCGGTTAATATCATGGTGCTAACTATTACCCTATCCAGATCAAAGTTGTCCTCGTTGTGTAGAGCTGAAGTGTGATCTAAATAGTTTTCTTGAAGTTGTCTGCTCGAATTTTATTAGGTTCTATTTTTATTTATTTCCTCAAATATTCTGAACAACTCAATCGGGTTGTGAGGATTAAAGGGTGCTGACCAAAGTTCTGGCCGTCCTTAGGCTTACAGTTTTAAGCGTGCCAAGTACTTTGTTATCCTTTCCTTATTCAATTCATGTTGGGCCATTATACTTTATTATTCTTCTACTTGGAGAAAATCTTATGTATTTGTGCTATCTCACATTGTTTTTATATTTTAAGATTCACAAGGAGCTAGCAAGATACTTAAAGTGAAGAAAAGGGGCGTGTTAAATTTATCTAATGGAGAACGTTTTGTGGTTTATTTTGACGACACGGATTCTCCCATTGGTGAAGGACAAGGCGTTTTTGCAGGCTTTTGTGGAATTTTAGCAACCGATTGCTCCATTTTTCCAATTCACTTTGAGAAATGGAAGAATTTACCTGTGACAATCTTCAACCGTTGTTATGAACGATTTATAAAGGTATTCCTGAGGCATACAATATCTCTATTTTTATGTCATTAGATTGTATATTTGTATGTAATAATTATATAACCATTGGTTTATTCTTGAAGCCACGATTTTGTTTTAGGACAACTGAGTCAAATGCAAGACCATATGTTTATAATTCTATGTGTAAGAAGTGGGGCGCAAAAAGGCTAAAGTTGTTTGATAAGGTCTATGATCCACTTAAGAGCAGAGCTGAGATACTGGATAGTGTTCCACCGGGGATTCCACCGGATCAATAGATTTCTTATGTTGATTACCGCTTTAAAGAAAAAACACAGGTTTTATTTCAATGCTTCAATTAGTATGTGTAATTATATGGCTTCACTTTAACCAATCTTCATCCATGCTAACGTTTTCAAGCTTTTCCAACAACATCGACTTGACTTAAACTTAATTTTCAGATTCGAAATTCGAGATCACTTCTTCAAACTTGTAATAATGGTGAATAGTTGCAAACTTTAATTTGTTCTAGCTAGAATATTTCAGAACTATTTGATGATTTATTGTACAACCAACAGGCCACTACCATGTGCAATGAGACCTAACAGGTGAAGAACATAATGAAAATTGAAACTGAAGATAAACTTGTTCATTATAGCAAAGTACACAGCCCATGCTACATAGTTTTTGAATGTGTGAGTTATAATTGTAAAATAGTAGGAACTTGTATGACTAACCTGGAAGGTTGCTGTTGCTCTATGCATGGAGAAAAATCAGGTAGAAGAAAGTGAAGCCCTTTACTTGATTCACCTTCAAAATACTCATTCTTAATTTTCTTATTGGATTTCCTTCTCTTTCTTTCAACCAAGAATGCAGAACCTAGAGCAGTTGTGATAAAAACTCCACCGAACAAAATGACACTAGCAATACCACTGCCGTTTTTGCTTGAGCTTATTTTCATCATCAGTTTTTGATTCTGCATGCTGATTTGATTGTTCTGTGATATTTTCTTGGTATCTTTTTGTAAGGAAACTTGTAAAAGAAATGCTGAAATTCGAAAGAAACAAACTGTTTTACATATTGGTGGCTCCAAACCTAACTCCAGAAGAAGGGCTGAAAAGGTAATAATTCATTTTGGATACTTTAATTAAACTAGCAACTATTCCTAGTTAGTTAAGTTAATGCGACTTTGACTTTTTCATATATAGATGGCTGAGACTGGACAAAAGCCTGGACGAGGACAGCTTTATCTCGCTATACATAGGAATGAAGATGGATCATATGTTAATGAGGCGGCAAAAGAGATATGTGTAAGACATATGGAGCCCCAGTTGTCATGACCCAAAATCCATTATAGGTCGTGATGGCGCCTATCGTCGCAGTCAGGCAAGCCAACGGTGATTTATCAATTTAATTACCCATTTTATTACTTTCGAAATCATAGATTTTAATCAATAAGGAGATTTACACTTCTAAATCCATGGGAACGTACAACGTTTGTAGTGTATAAAAAAAATGAAAGGCGATAATAATATACGAAACCGTAAGCATCAACTAGTATAACCCCAAAATCCTGTGTCACAAGTGCATGAGCATTTACTAAGGAGTACAATAATAATAATACAACATCTGTCTAGAATGTAAATAAGACAGGATAAAATAAATAGTACGATGAAGACTCTATGGACTGCGATGCGTGGCCAGGTATGCAGCTCACATGAAGTCTCCTCAACAACTGCGCCTATGCGCCAAGACGATCATCAAATGAACCTGTCAGATTCTGCACATTTAGTTCAGAAGTGCAGCATGAGTACGTAAATCAACGCATACCCAATAAGTATCTAGCCTAACCCCAGAGAAGTAGTGTCGAGGGGTCGACATCGATACTTACTAGAGGTCTAATAAAACAAATTAATAAATCATAAGAAGATATGAAGTGCATAACACTAATGGGGTAAAACTGTTAGTTACATAATCTTCTAAATATTTCTTTTAAAGTATGAATTTTTCAGTCTTGTATTCAACCTCAACAACGCAGATGTATCAAGTTCCAGTATAAAGCGGATAAGAAATACCATATAAAAGGCCGGGCATCAGTGAAAGGGTAATCTCGTGAATATTCTGACTACCATCGATATAACGCATGATTATGCCGAGGTCGTTCGGTTCGATCTAGAATAATGTGTACACTGCAGAGGATCGAGCGGCATGAACCATAGATACATCTATTATACTGCCGAGGTGTTCAACCCACTGCACAAGAAAGGAAGGAAATCTTCGAATTACGAGACATGTGCTTACAATACAGTGCATGGATACGAAGCGAATTTAACCTTTACCGCTTTTCAATTAACTTGCCAACAACTCAAGATAATAAAGTTCGGCCTAATATATATGTATGCATTTCTAAATAAACTCAATTATAATTTTAATTAATTAAGCTAGCATAATGAATTCAAGTATTTCAAATATTATAGGGTAAAGTCCTAAGTTTACCCAGACATAAATATTCTTTAGCTATGTACGGACTCTCGTCATCTCGTGCGTACGTATCACCCACAACTAATAACACATAACAATTATATCACCTAGGGGTAGTTTCCCCCTCACAAAGTTAGATAGGAGACATACCTCGCTCCAATGTTTCATAACCGGCTCTCGCGCCTCTCTAACACCTCAACTCCAAGCCAAACATTCCGAAACTAATCAAACAACGTGCAAATCAATCAAAATGTACCCCAATGCTTACAATTTAACAACTTATAACAGTTCCCAACTCCGCTCGAAAAGTCAATAAAGTCAACCCTCGGGCCCACGTGCCCGGATTCTGAAATTATTTTAAGATAAACTTTACTCATAACGCCGCGAACTCAAATATATAATTTATTCCAAATTCTATGTCCAATTTCGTGGTCAAAATCCAACAATACCAATTTCTAGGTTTTCTACTAAAACCCCACAATTGCTACTAGTTTTCATGTTTAAATTCTTATAGAATCCATGTATTTAACTTACAATAGGTGGGAATAACTTACCTTGCCATAGAAGATGAAAGTCTCCCCTTGAAGCTCTCCAAACATCGCCCAAACCAAGAGAGAAATGCGTGAAATGAGCTAAAATTTCGATTGAGCAACATATATTCTACCCAGGCATTTTCGCACCTACGGGCACCCCAGCCGCACCTGCGGCTCCGCTTCTGCGGGAAAATGTCTGCTCTTGCGAAAGTCACTTAGGTCCCGACCAGCCGCACATGCGGCCTAAGGCTCGCACTTTCCAGGGCGCTTCTGTGGCCCACCACTTGCTTCCGCGCTTTCGCTCCTGCGTGATCCCTTCCGCTTCTACGGGGCCAGCCACATCTCTCCAACTCCGCATCTGCGGAGCCTCGTCGCATCTGCGGGCTCGCAGATGCGGAAATCCTCTTCGCACCAACGACCACTGCCCATCTCACCCAGGACCGCTTCTGCCACCCTTTGGCCACTTTTGCGGTCTCGCACCTGCGGCCATAACCTCGCATGTGCGATCACATCAAAAGCCTTAAGCTTCAGCAGTTCCTCCAAGTCCAAATTCGATCTGTTTCCAATCCGATTCACAACCGGGGCCCCCAGGACCCTGCCCAAACATACCAACACATCCCAAAATGCGATACGAACTTAGTCAAAATCTCAAATCACGTCAAACAACATCAAAATTACGAATCAACGGCCAAAACCATTCTTTCAACTTTCCAACCTTTAAACTTCGCCTAACGCATTTGAATTACACTTAAACATCCCGGAATGACACCAAACTTCACGTGCAAGTCATAAATCACGATACAAACCTATACCAAGTCTTGAAACTCCAAACAGACATCGATAATATCAAAATCCACTTCAAACCAAACTTATGAAATTCTAGAACTTCCAAAATACCAACTTCCCATAATAGGAGCCGAAATGCCCCCGGACCACCCGATACTCAACCTGAACACACGCCCAAGTCTGAAATCATCATAGGAACCTACTAGAACCTTCAAATCCCGATTCTGAGGTCATTTACTTAAAAGTCAAACCTTAGTCAATTCTTCCAACTTAAAGCTTCCGTAATTAAAATTTTCTATCTGAATCGACTCTAAACTTCCCGAAATTTAATTCCGACCACACGTACAAGTCATAATACCTGAAGTAAAACTACTCAAGGCCTCAAATCACTAAACGACATGTTAGAGCTCAAAATGACCGATCGGGTCGTTACACCAGTAATTGCTATTAGTCTTCTTTGTTGATATATAACTCATCTATAAGTTATTTATTCTCTTATTTAGACATTCCTTTCGCAAAACTTTAATATTTGTTAAGCAAAACCTTTCCCGATCTCATAAAAGAAAAAGTTTAGAGAGTCTCTTGTCACTAACGGAAGAAGGTAACGGGTATAACATAGGTGAAATCAGAAGGATCTCCTTCTTTGGTATCAAAATCAAGCTATTATATAGAACTTAGGATTTCATGTAGAGAGAAAAACAAGCTAGCACTACATAGACCTAATATCTCGTAGTAACATTGGTAAAATTTCCCATTATATAAAACCATCAGAACCCACAAGGTTAAATAGTTTTGTCTAGCGGCAACTTTATTCAATATATGTTTCTTTTTTGAATTACTACTACATGAGTTTGCCACGTTTATCCTTCTCTTTAGCTGATGAACTGATTCTAGATTGATGTTGAGGTGAAGTAAAAAGAAAAAAAAATTGGATAGCTTACCTTCTGGTATTTCATGTGCTTTGTGGGGAGTGAAACTCGCCGGCCAGATGAAAATTGAAGCTCCTTACAGCAAAGTAATGGGCAAGTAACCTTGCCAAATCCAGTCATAATTAAAGCATAATTTTGCATGTGCATAGTAGAACAGCCTTAACTGGGGTAGATTAGTTTACATCTCAGAATAAGGGAGTATTATATGTTGCTAATTGATGCTGTCACAAATCCTTTTTATGGTAAATTTTGTGTTATTAACTGCAGTCCCAAAGTTTTAACACTTGTTTTATACCAGAAAAAGATAATATCCTTCTCTTGTTTTTCTTTTTTAACTTGTCATTCACTGATTGAAGTTAGGACACTGGGTTTTGGAGTGTAATGTATTTAGAAAAAAATTGAACTAGCATTGAGCCAAAGCACCGTGGATGAGTCTAAAATTTTGCCAAATGATGTTGTTGGTAAGGTAATGGGAAAAGAGCACCCTGGAAGGGTAAGGTGCTTGGGATTAGGAGTTGTTCTTGGCAGATCTTTTAGACAAACAAAACCTCGTTATAGTGATTTGAATGCTTCAAGTTATAATAATGGTTCATGTTCTTCCCAATGCCAAGAGAAGTACAATCAAATGTTGAATGCTCACAATCAAAGCCAAGAGAACTACAGGGAAATGATGAATGCTTTTAAGGCGTATATGATAATTAAATAAGGGAAGATACCTGAAGAATTTGCAGGGATATTTGTTTCTCCTCCTCGTTCAACGGTAAGAATAGTTCATAACTTTCTTATTTAATTTTGAAAGTATGATTGATCAGTCCAAGTATTATTCTAAATTAGGAAAGTAGAAACTTTTGTGCTATGTGGTGTTTGACATAGCATTCAAATGGAATGGGGTAAAGAATTTGCTTGAAATTATAAATTATGTCGTAATCAAGGATGTTTTCTTTGGTTGATTCCGTAGATTTTTCAGTTGAAAATGACTAGAGAATAGAATTTTGATATGTTAACTTGAAAAGACACATCTAAAGAGAGTTCCAATAAGAGCACTTGTTTACATGTGGAAATGCATTCTTGGTATGTTCGAATAGTCCCTATCATTGGTGGATCCTTTACATCTGTGATATCTAGATTTGGTGAATCTTCAAAATTCCAAAATTCACCATTCTCAAAATTATTCTTACTTCTTAGATTCACAAACTTCGCAAGTTAATTTAATCTTTTCCATTTCCATATCAGAATAAAAGAAGTGTGTGGTTCTACAAAGCTAGCGTCCTTTATTTCTTTCATTCATTCATTCATTCATTTGTTTAGATAATCATATTCCCTCTAGTTGTTCTGCTTTTCTTGACATCCACTCTCTCGAGGCTTGTCAATCTTGTGCTTTTACTGTTAACTGGAAAGATATTTCAGTAGCCAATTCCTTTGAATTGATCGATGAATGTATGAGCCAAAAACATTTGGCTATTGAGCTGCAGGCTATCTGAAGTTGTTTTCCTTAGGAACAAAAGTATGGCAGCATAAAATTTAAGAATAATCACTTTTTACAACCTCCAATTACAGTTTACTTACACTTTTGTGCTATGTGGTGTTTGACATACCTTACAACATTCGATGTGTCCTAACTTTGTGCCATAAATATTCTCTTGATTAATAGATGGCTTAGATAAGTTACTGATACTTGACTGAATCTAAGTGATTATTAATTAGGATATTGTTGAGGTACCTTTTATTAATTATATTTTATTTTGATTGTTTTGTAAACAAGTGATGCAGCTAGCGGATTCATTTCACCCATGCATATAATAAGATCATCCGGTGGAAGTAATCCTAACGACAACCGTTGAAGTTGCTTGCAA